AAGAGGAAGAAGAAGGAGGAGGAGGAAAAGTATGAACAATAAAATGGCAATAAATATATATCAACAATTGGATCTAAAAATCAAAATAAACGAACAAGGAATCTAATGAACAAAATAAACTGATGTATAAAATAGCATCAGAGGCATGGAAACATGGAACAGACTGATGAATCTTAGAGGGAAGGGGGTGGGGGGGTGGGAAATGATTAACCAAAGAACTTATATGCATATATGCATTACCTATAGACACTGACAAGACAGAGTGGTGAAGGCCAGGGGTGGGGCAGGAACCGGGTGGAGGGGGGCAGTGGGGGGAAAAGGGGAGTACATCTGTAATACTCTCAACAATAAAGGCACACACACAAAAAAAGAATAAAACCAGAAGCTTGAAAAGAGCAGTCTACACCACTACTGACAACATTGATGCATCTCAAATGCATTTTGACAAATGAAAGAAGTCAGATGCAAAAGGCGCCGACTGTGTGATCCCATTTGCACACACTCTGGAATGGGATAGCTCAGCATTGCCGGGCGCTGGTCCCGTGAGAGCAGTGGGGCTGAGTACAGAGACCTGAGATGAGGTCGATGGAAGTGTTCTGCACCTTGATTGGGTGACATGATGACAGGCATTTGTCAAAACTAAAACTTTATACCCAAAGGGTCAGTTTTACTATCACTTGTACATTATATCAATAAATCTGGCTTTAAAAAAACAAAGCAAACACAAATATCTTGTAGGATTGATGCAGATCACTATTTCCTGTGTGTGGAATAACATAGTGCTTTATCTTTCCCTGAAAGGTTGACAGATTTCTTATGTATTTACTGTGTATTTGTGTTCGCTTAGTAACAGTTTCAAAGTCACATTTTTAGGTCATTAAGTATTTTACTTTATAAGTAGTAATTGTTTAAAAATTACTTGAAAGTTTTTAAATTTCATGGAATATATTGCATCTGTTTCATAGTATTTGTTTTCTGTATTAATCAGAATGCTACAAATAACAACAATAACACTCGACCTGGCTTAAACAATGGCGGCTTTTATTGGCTTCACCTCTGTGGTTATGGAATGGCTGCTCAGCATTGAAGCCTACATCGGTCCCTCATTTACACGGAGCAGCAAAGGGAGAGCGCTTTTTCTGTGGTTCTTCCTTTAAGAGTAGGGAACCTCCTCTTCCCCGCTGCTGGACACATTTCCTCATGTCTCCTCGTTTCCTGAACCAATCCCTGTGTACCCGTTATTTTTACACCAATCAGGGCCCCCCTTTAATCTGGGAGGACAGTGGTTACCTCCCCAAAAGAAAGGCTACATAGTGGTGGTGAGTTACGTGAACCAAGTCTGGATACCGTTAAGGAATTGGGGGAGGCCTAGCCAGTTTTGCTCAGTGGATAGAGTGTCGGCCTGCGGACCAAAGGGTCCTGGGTTCGATTCTGGTCAAGGGCATGTACCTTGGTTGCAGGCTCCTCTCCAGCCCAGGCCCTGGTCGGGGCACGTGCAAGAGGCAACCAGTCGATGTGTTTCTCGCACATTGATGTTTATCTCTGCCTTTCCTTCTTTCTTCCACTCTCTCTAAATATCAATGGAAAAATATACTTAAGTGAGGATTTTTTTTAAAAATGGGGGGAAAAGGATACCAGGCAGGTAAGTAATAATGCTAGTGCTTTACCCTAAATTTATTAAGTTAAAAACAAAACCCTGACTAGTTGGGGGATTTGCTGATTACATAGTTGTTATTTCAGTATTTCTGAGACCACAAATTATTTAAACCGTATTAGTTACTTTACCTAAAGACTTCACATAAAAATACCTCACCTCAGTACTGCTGTAAGAAGCAACTGGTCATTTCCCACATTAGAATAGATGCTGCCTATAAAACATAAGTAGTTGTCCTATATGTTGAATACAGTGAAGCATTCTTACAGCTTAATCGTATTTTATACAGCTTAAAAATATAACATTTACACAAATTAAACACTGGTTAAAACGTACTTTGGTCTGTTTTGGTACGAGAGTTTTTACTAAACCTTTTTTATACTTAATACTCTCCTAGAGTGAAAGGGTATCTCAGAAAAGTAGGTAGAACTTTCTAAATAAAAAACATATTTTAGGTATAAAATATAAAATGCATTTTAATAGTACTAAGCCGAAGGGCTTGGATAGTTAAAGAAAGCTCCATAGACAAGGGCTGGAAATTCAGCCGGCCATCGAAAGGAAGGTAAGTCTTAAACACCTACAGAGGTACAGCGAGAGCATGTGCCAGACAGAGGGGATAAAAGAAAGGTTTGGGGATGGCCGGGGACATGTTTGGATGAAGGTGGATAGATTAGTGTGTTTGGGGGAAAGTGTGCCTGTGAAGATACAGTGTGAGAGAAGTTTGAGGAAGTGACCAGGTTTGAACAACCCTGAATGGTACCCAGAATCTGGATTTTATCCTGTCATTGAGGAGAGGACTCTTGAAGGCTTCTCTTTCTGTGGAAAGTAGGGTTACCTGGGCAAAGCGGAGTTTTAGAAACACTCCTCATACGGCAGAAACAAGGTGGGTTAGAGCCAAAAATAGTGGAATCAGAGCATTTGGCAACTATTGATTGGCCTGGTCTTGAGCAAAACAGGGTAGCAGCGATGAAAACTTAAAGGATGGATGCTAAAGACATAAGAGCAAAGAGAGAGAGAGAGAGAGAGAGAGAGAGAGAGAGAGAGAGAGAGAGAGAGAGAGACATAATGGCATGAGAAGAGTTGTTAGCTGACTGGGTTTTGTGGTAGGGAACTAAGTTTAAAGTAATTCAAGATGCCAAAGACAGATAACCAGAAAGAAATGGCACCATTGCCAAGATGGTAAAGTTTGGAGATGGTGTTTTCCAGAAAAGATGAGTTTACTTTTACATTAACACTATGTCAAAGTGGTAATAAGTGTCCAACAATAGTTAGGTATGTGAAACTTAAAATATTTTATTGCGTGTCAATATTTTATTGAAGCGTGTGGTAGACACAGGAGATAGTTAATAAGGAAAAAACTGTTCCCATCCTCATGGAACTAGCAGGGGTCTACACCGATATATTTAAATAAATATCTGCCCTGGCCCGTATGCCCAGTTGATTGGGCATGTCCAGTGCACCAAAACATTGCCAGTTTGATTCCCAGTCAGGGTACATGCCCAGGTTGCAGGTGCGACCCCTGGTGGGGGCTGTGCAGGAGGCAGCTGATCAGTGTTTCTCTTTCTCTCCCCCTCTCCTTTCCCTTCTTTCTAAAAATCAATGAAAATATATATTTCTTTAAAGAATTTGAGCCCTAGACGGTTTGGCTCAGTGGATAGAGCGTGGGCCTGTGAGCTGAAGGCTCGCGGGTTCACTTCCAGTCAAGGGTATATGCCTGGGTTGTGGGCTCATTCCACAGTCGGGGGCATGCAGGAGGCAGCTGATCAATGATTCTCTCTCATCATTGACGTTTCAGTCATTCCCTTTCTCTTCCTCTCTGAAATCAATAAAAATATGTTTAAAAAAATAAAAGGAATGTGAAAGGAAAGAATTTGCCTGCCATGTATGTTCCCCTCTCCCTCAACTACCTATAAATCACCCATTCTCACTTCTGAAATTTAATGCCCCATTTCCCCTTTCTTCTTTAAAAATAATAAAGTATGGGTTTAATTTTAAAATATGGATAAAAGGCCCTGGCCAGTGTGGCTCAGTTGGTTGGAGAATTATGCTGTATACCAAGAGGTGATGGTTCTATTCCAGGTCAGGGTACATACCTAGGTTGTGGGTTTGATCCCCAGTTGGTGTACATATGGAAGGCAACTGATTGATGTTTCTCTCTCTCTCAAAAAACAAAATGGGTAGAAGAAGGTAGGTGGCATAGTGAAACAAGATTAACAATGAGTTGATGACTGTGGAATCTCCGCAATGGACACATGGAGGTTCATTTCACTCTTTTCTTTTCTTTAATATATGACTAGAGGCCTGATGCATGCAATTCATGCAACAGTAGGCCTTCCTTCCCCCAGCTGCTGGCACTGGCTTCCCGCTGTCACCCAGGACCCAGGCTTCCCTCCGGCCCCGACTTCGTCCGGAATGATGTCCAGTCTAATTAGCATATTACCCTTTTATTATTATAGATAGAAATTTTCCACAATGAAATGTTTTTTTGCAAGGGCAAAAAGTTTTGTGCATAAAGCTGACAACTAGAGAAGATGATTGAGAGAATGATGAAATCGTGTCCAAAGAGAGGTGGGGGAAAAACAAGAAAAGTATTGTGTCTGGGAACCGGAAAAGTTAAAAGATGTTTCAAGGCAAAGATGGGTGATAGTGTTAACTGACTGCTACAGGCATCACAGGAGAAGTTGTTACCAGCTCTAACTGGTGTGGTTCAGTTGGTTGGGCGTCACTGTGAACCTGGAGATTGCCACTTTGATTCTACACAAGGGCACATCCCCGGGTTCCGGACTCAATACCTAGCAGGGGGTGTGCAGGAGGCAGTTGATCGATGTTGCTCTCTCACATCGATGTTGCTCTCTTCTTCTCCCTTCTCTCTCTAAAAATCAATAAACTCTTCTTTTTTTTAAAAAATATATTTTATGGATTTTTTACAGAGAGGGAGGGAGAGAGATAGAGAGCTAGAAACATCGATGAGAGAGAAACATCCATCAGCTGCCTCCTGCACATCTCCTACCGGGGATGTGCCCGCAACCAAGGTACATGCCCCCGACCAGAACCGAACCTGGGACCCTTCAGTCCGCAGGCCGATGCTCTATCCACTGAGCCAAACCTGTTTTGGCTAAACTATTCTTTTTTTAAAAAAAAAGTTGTTACACATTATATCTAGCAAATTGCCCATTTCTAATTTTCTTACTTTCTGGTTGGATGTTCCTCGATGGCTGAAAGGAACTGGGTACTTGAGAGGCTTGAGAAAACTGTTTTAATCAAACCATTCGATGAGGAGTTTATTACTTGAGAAATATTGTCCAAGCTTTATTTCCTAATATGTGCATATCTGTTCTATTTGTAGGAGACAAATGAGCAAAAACTTCACAACATAGCCAATGAGCTGTTGCTTACGGAAAGAGCTTACGTCAACCGACTTGACCTCTTAGATCAGGTAATATTTTCCATTTCAGAATTATTTTAATCTTCGGCACTATACATTACTTTAACTTAACAATTAAAGTTTTTAGAAACTACAGAGAAGGACCTGACCATTTTTGGCCAGTGAAAGGAAATTTATAACATTTCTAGGTTTACCAGTGAATTCACTGGGTATAAAGTGTTATACTTCATAAAGAGCAGACTGACGGACTTTCCGTACAAGTCACAAGTGTCTTTTATCCATGTTTTTCAACCCTAAACACTAGTCTTGACCATTATTGTGATTCTCTATGCTATGTTTCTATGATAATATAAATGAGAGATTGTGATTCTGATGTGATACTAAAACAGGGGTGGGCAAACTTTTTGACTCGAGGGCCACAATGGGTTCTTAAACTGGACTGGAGGGCCGGAACAAAAGCATGGATGGAGTGTTTGTGTGAACTAATATAAATTCAAAGTAAACATCATTACATAAAAGGGTACGGTCTTTTTTTTCAATAGTTTTATTCATTTCAAACGGGCCGGATCCAGCCCACGGGCCGTAGTTTGCCCACTGCTGTACATGAATATATCACTGATTCTGTTTGGCTTGTTTGCTATTCAGTCTTATGGGCATGACCTGAGTGGCTGCAGTCATAGGGCCAGAAGGGATATTGAGAGTTCACTTGCTCAGCCTTGTAGGAAACGTTTAATACAGTGACTGATGTAAAGTTGCACAGTCAGTATTTGTTGAATATGTGAATCTACTTTATCACATTTTGTACTTTCATCCTGGTAGAGCCTTGAGTGGTATTTCAGATACACATTTGCAAAGAAAGTTGTTGTTTTTTTTTTACCGCTATTTCTTTATTTTTATTTATTTATATTTTAATTGAATTTATTGGGGGTAACACTGCTTAATAAAATTACATAGGTTTCAGGTGTACAGTTCTGTAAGACATCATCTGTATATTGTATGGTGTGTTCACCACCCCAAGTCAAGTCTTCTTCTATCACCATTTACCCACCTCCCCTTTATCCTTTCCTATCCCCTCCCCGACACACACACCCCTTTTTCCTCTGGTAATCACCATACTGTTGTTTGTGTTTAAGAGGTTTATTTTTGTGTGTGTGTGGTTTTTTGTTTGGTTTGTTTTGTTTTTGCTTTACCTTTCACCAATCCCTCTCCGCTCTGACAGCTGTCAGTTTGTATCTATGAGTCTATTTCTATTTTGTTTGTTAGTTTATTTCGGTCATTTGATTCCATCCTATCTAATAATAGAGAAGCATGGTAATTAACCATAACTTCGCTACTCTTCCCATTGGCTAATCAGAGAGATATGCAAATTAACTGCCAACCAAGATGGCGGCCGGCAACCAGGCAGCTGAAGCGAACAGGAGGCTTGCTTGCTCCAGTGATGGAGGAAGCCAAGGTTCCCCGCCTGCCTCAGCCCAGCTCTGAGCTCCGGATGCGACAATGTTGCAATTATAGATGCTAAACAAATCCCAGGTACCTGCTTTCAGCCTTCAGCGGGCTCAGAGCTTAGAGCACCAGTGATGGTAACAGAGTTTCAATTCTAGAAGCTAAACAAACTCAGATACCTGCATTTAGCCAGCCGGGGCCTCAGAGCTGGAGCTGACTCTCAGCTCCAGTGATAGCTATAGAAGGTAAATAAATCCCAGAAAGAAAAAAAAAAGAGGCTGGGAGCTTCAGTCACCCGCCAGCCTGAAAACGGCCCTCAGCCCCTCACCCAGACTGGCCAAGCACCCCAGTGGGAACCCCCACCCTGAAGGGGGTGTGACCAGCTGCAAACAGCTATCAGACTGTCATCCAGGCTGGCCAGGCACCCCAGTGGGAACCTGCACCCTAAAAGGGGTGTGACCAGCTGCAAACAGCCATCAGCCCCTCACCCAGGCTGGCCAGGCACCCAAGCAGGACCCCCACCCTGATCCTGGACACCCTTCAGAGCAAACCAGCCAGCCCCCACCCATGCACCAGGCCTCTATGCTATATAATAAAAGGGTAATATGCAAACTGACCCTAACAGCAGAAAGACTGGGAATGACTGGTCACTATGACACACACTGACCACCAGGGGCAGATGCTCAATGCAGGAGCTGTCCTCTGGTGGTCAGTGAGCTCTCACAGGGGGGAGCTCTGCTCAGCCACAAGCCAGGCTGACGGCTGCCAGTACAGCAGTGGTGGTGGGAGCCTCTCCTGCCTCCTCAGCAGCGCTAAGGATGTCTGACTGCAGCTTAGGCCTGCTCCCCGCTGGCAAGTGGACATCCCCCGAGGGCTGCCAGGCTGCCAGGCTGCCAGAGGGATGTCTGATTGCCATCTTAAGCCCAGTCCTCTGGGGAGCAGGCCTAACCCAGCAAGTAGTCACCCCTGAGGGGTCCCAGACTGCGAAAGGGCGCAGGCCGGGCTGAGGGGCCCCCTATCCCCGAGTGCACAAATTTTTGTGCACCGGGCCTCTAGTGTACAAATAAAATCATACAGTACTTGTCTTTTTCTGACTGGCTCATTTCACTTAGCATAATACTCACCAGATCTATCCATTCTATTGCAAAAAGTAAGACTTCCTTCTTTTTTTATAGCCAAGTAGTATTCCACTGTGTAAATGTACCACAGCTTTTTTATCCACTCATCTACTAATGGGCATTTGGGCTGCTTTCAAATCTTGGCTATTGTAAATAATGCTGCAATGAACATAGAGGTACATATATTCTTTCAAATTAGTTTTGGGTTTTTTATTGCTGGGTCATAAGGCAGTTCCATTTTTAATTTTTTGAAGTAACTCCATATTGGTTTCCACAGTGGCTGCACCAAGCTTCATTCCAGCAAACAGTGCAAGAGGGTTCTCTTTTTGCCAGAACTTCACCAACACTTGTTGATTTATTGATGATAGCCATTCTGACAGGGTTGAGGTGATACCTCATTGTGGTTCTAATTTGCATTTATCTGATGACTAGTGACATTGAGCATCTTTTCATATGTCTTTTTGGAGAAGTGTCTATTCAGGTCCTTTGGCCATTTTTTAATTGGATTGTTTTGGGGGGAGGTTTGGTGTTGAGCTGAATAAGATCTCTATAAATTTTGGATATTAACCTCTTATTGCAGTGGTTCTAAACCTTCCTAATACCTTGACCCTTTAATACAGTTCCTCATGTTGTGGTGACCCCCAACCATAAAATTATTTTCGTTGCTACTTCATAACTGTAATTTTGCTACTGTTATGAATTGTAATGTAAATATCTGATATGCAGGATGTATTTTCATTGTTACAAATTAAACATAATTAAAGCATAGTGATTAATCACAAAAATAATATGTGATTATATATGTGTTTTCCAATGGTCTTAGGCGACCCGTGTGAAAGGGTTGTTTGACCCCCAAAGGGGTCGTGACCCACAGGTTGAGAACCGCTGCCTCATCGGATGTACTATTGGTGAACATGCTCTCCCACTCAGTGGTCTGTTTTGTATTTTGCTGATGGTTTCCTTTCCTGTGCGAAAATTTTTTAGTTTGATGTAGTCCTATTTGTTTATTTTTTCTGTTTCCCTGCCCAAGGAGATATATCAGAAAAAATATTGCTAAGAGAAATATCCGAGATTTCACTGTCTATATTTTCTTCTAGGATTTTATGGTTTCAAGTCTAACATCGAAGTCTTTAATCTATTTTGAGTTTATTCTTGTGTGTGGTGTGAGAAGGTGGTCTAGTTTCATTTTTTTTTTTTTTTGCATGTGTCTGTCCAGTTTTCGATATTATTGAATAGACTATCTTTACCCCATGGTATGTTCTTGCCTCTTTTGTCAAATATTAATTGACCAGAAAGATGTTGGTTTATTTATGGGCTCTCTATTCTGGTCCATTGGTCTATAAGTCTCTACCTTGCTGTTTTAATTATTATGGCCTTGTGTTATAGTCTGATATCCAGTATTGTGATTCCTCCAACTTTGTTCTAATTTATCAAGATTGCTGTGGTTATTTGGGGTCCTTTGTGGTTCCATATAAATATTTGTTCTAATTCTGTGAAAACATTTTAAAATGTATTGTAAGAGTAACTATTGAAAACTAAGGTCTCTCAATCCTGCTTCAGTGATAAAAAAAAAACACAAGATAATTGGTAGATTGTCTGCTAATACAGACTCCTCTTATTAGAAGAGAGAGTTGCCACGCTTGAGCGTTAGTTGGAAGAAGACTTGTCCTCTTCTGCCATTGGAAAACTGGAACTTCATGGGAGCAGGTCGTCCTGTGCATGCTCCCTCTCATCAGTTCCTAGAGTTCCTGTTACAGTGAGCCCCCAGGGGCCGAATTAACGCTGTGTTCTTTGAAATAATGAGTTTGCAACTCAAGTTTTACTTTCCAAAAGAATTTCTCCATGGCAATCAAGTTATTTTGAGTTTGTATCTTTGAAACAACTTTTTTCTTCATGGGGATCACAGACCTGAAACTTTCAGTTACTCCCATAGGGAGATATTTCTTTTTTAAAAATCGGATGTGTCCTCCACCTTTTTTCCCCAGCCACATTAGCTTGTTCAGCTATTGTTGCTGACGATAGAGAAGTTTAGACTCTTAATTCCTACAATATCCTATCTGTTGGAGTCTCTAGGGACATAATTTTGTGTTCTTTTTGCCTTAAGAAAATGCAGTGGAGGGGAATTTAGAAAATTAACAACCATCTGGACATTATGAAGGCCCAGACCTCCTTCTGCCCACATTTAACAGAATGGCAAGAGGGATAGTAGCCTTAGTGGAGTATAGCTAAGATTGCAGATTTTTTTGTCTTTATGACACCTGTTATTATCCATGTGCAGGAGAAGATTTTTTTGTCCTCATACCAGTGTTTCAAGTTTTGCGTCATTTTTTACTAAAAAGCAGGAAAACATTAGAGAACTGAAATATTCTTTTTTCATCCACTGACCAGTTATTTATTAAGTACCTTTTCTTCTCTAGAAACTAAATTATGATGTCTTCCCTCCCCAAGTTATGTAGTTTTAATAGAAAAAAAGAGACATATGCCAACAACTGACAATACCAGTAAAGACAATATGTAGTAAAGGACATAAAAATCATTCGAAACATAAACAGGAGTGGAAAAATGCCACAATTATGAGGTATGTGTAAAGTTTTTGGTTTTTTTTTTAAAAAAAATCTCTTAATTCTACTTATGGATTCGAAGGGTAAATTCTGTTAACCTCAGTTGGAAATTCTCTGGCACAAAAAAGGTTAACATCCCACAAAAAGAGGCAAAGTTTCCTAATTCTAATTCCTGGTTCTTCTTAACCAAAGTACATACTCAGTCCTGTAGTTCAAAAATGATTGATTTCTTGAACCATGAACTTTTCCATTTATTCAACAAAAAGTTGTTAAAGAGCCTACTATGTGCATAGCACAGTGCCAGGTGGTAAGCCAATAAATTTGAAGTAATGTTTGCTCTATTCTCTTATTCAGGTATTTTATTGCAAACTATTGGAAGAGGCCAATCGAGGCTCATTTCCAGCAGAGATGGTGAATAAAATCTTTTCTAATATTTCATCAATAAATGCCTTCCATAGTAAATTCCTATTGCCAGAACTGGAGAAACGAATGCAAGAATGGTAAGGAGTAGATAGCAAATGATATGTCTAAGGCAGTCATACTAGATGCTGTGTTATTCAGCTTTTAAATTGAAATACTTATGTTACACAGAGCATTAGACAAATATTTGGGCTAAATTTTTATGCTATAGACCAGGGGTCCTCAAACTTTTTAAACAGTGGGCCAGTTCACTGTCCCTCAGAGCGTTGGAGGGCCGGACTATAGTTTAAAAAAAAACTATGAACAAATTCCTATGCACACTGCACATATCTTATTTTGAAGTAAAAAAACAAAACGGGAACAAATACAATATTTCTATTTGCATGTGGCCCGCGGGCCGTAGTTTGAGGACCCCTGCTATAGACCAATAATAGAAGGTGTACGTTTTCAACTTTAGTTAAAAGGGTTTCATCTCTGCTCTTCAAACTGTTTTTACTAGTGAAGATACAATGTTATGAGTTATATGGAGCTTGAAGATTTTCTTAGTATTTCATTCCTACTTACTTTTTACTATTTCATTCCTAAACTTCGTTTAATTCTCTAACTTCCTTCATTCTCTACCAATCTCATAGCAGAGTGAATCTGATTAAGTATAGGGTGTGTGTAGAGAGGTGATTACTTCTTTTGAAGTCCTGTTAATTCACTCATTCTATAAGAAATCTTAATGACTTGTTTCTATATTTTATACAGGGAAACTACTCCTAGAATTGGTGACATCCTCCAGAAATTGGCACCATTCCTTAAGATGTATGGAGAATACGTGAAAGGATTTGATAACGCAATGGAATTGGTTAAAAACATGACAGAGCGTATTCCCCAGTTCAAATCAGTAGTTGAAGAAATCCAGGTAATATGACTCTTTTGTTTAAGGCTATGTATGCAGCAGTTGTTCTGTCCAAATCATAAAGTTTCTAGATATAAAATTTAGATTGTGATATCTGTTTGAGATACCTAGCCAAATTCCTTCAACTTTGAATTATGTAAAAACCATCTTTGCAAAATTAAAATATTGAGCATAGGCCATGTGTTGAGCAGTAAATTCTCCATTTGCTTTTGAGAGCAAGAGAGTGCTTTTATTAGGGTCCATGTAAATTACAAAGTGAATTCCCATTTAGTTCTGTGCCTCTCTTGTTTTCTTTCAGAGGTTGAAATGTTGAAATGAATAGAAGTGAATATAAAGAACTAGAGGCCTGGTGCACAAAATTTGTGCACAGTGTGGGGGGACCCTCAGCCCAGCCTGCACCCTCTCCAATCCAGGACCCCTTGGGGGATGTCTGACTGCCAATTTAGGCCCGATCCAGTCGGACATCCCTCTTACAATCCAGGACCACTGGCTCCTAACTGTTCACCTGCCTGCCCGCCTGATTGCCCCTAACTGGCCCCCCTGCCAGCCTGATCACCCCTAACCGCCTCTGCCTGCTGACCTGATTGCTCCTAACCGCCCCCCACACCAGCCTGGTTGCTGCCAACTGCGCCTCCTGCCAGCCTGGTCACCCCTCACTGCACCCCCTGCCGGCCTGGTCGCTCCACGTAGCCTGCTGTTCAGTCATTTGGTCGCCCCTCACTGCCCCCCTGCCGGTCTGGTCACCCCACACAGCCTGCTGTTCAGTCGTTTGGTCATCCCTCACTAACCCCCCTGCCTGCCTGGTTGCCCCACTCAGCCTGTTTGGTCGTCCATTCGGTTGTCTGAGATGTGATGGCCCCTGGCTCATTATATATATAGATGATGGTTATAGTTTTTCTCTCACTGATATTTCTGTCTCCCTCCTTCTCTCTTTAAAATCAATAAGAACATTGTTTAAAAAGAATGATTGTTATAAATTCTGATGTTTTAGAAGTATAATTATTCTGGATTTTTTTGTGACGTTATATGATTAAAAAATTTTTTTTTAATTTTTTGTGACTGAATAATACATTTTAATAATACCATAGTAATTTCTATTTGATTCTCTAGTCGAAGTTGTTAGTAACTATTCTGTGCCAAAGTTTAAATATTTTTTAAAAATTCTTTAGATCACATACGTTTCTGGGGTTGGGAATTCTGTGCCCCTTGACTGCTCTCTTTTGTGTTTCCTCTTCTCTCTGTTTGCCTGGCGATACTGTATCTAAGGTGCTTACCATGGAGCTTGTTGCATAATAAGTGCTCACTGCACGATGCTGGTGATGGTGGTCATTATTTTACCAAATCAGAAATCTGTCTCTACAATGTCTGTCATCTCCATATTATGAGGGAATGATGAGACTGTGAAAGGCGCAGTGGATTGAGAATCAGCTAACCTAATTTAGAATCCTCATCTGCCACTTACAATCATTTTACCTCAGAAAGCTGTCCTAACTCTCCTGAGCCACAGTTTCTTTATGTACAAATTTTGGGATCAATAATATTTTCTCTGATGTGTGTGTGTGTGTAATATGTTTGTTAGAGAAAGTCAAAAGAGATCACTAAACTTATAACAATATTTATTTATTTATTTATATTATTTTAAAAAATATATTTTACTTGATTTTTTACAGAGAGGAAGGGAGAGGGATAGAGAGTTAGAAACATCAGTGAGAGAGATACATCGATCAGCTGCCTCCTGCACACTCCCCACCGGGGGGTTGTGCCCGCAACCAAGGTACATGCCCTTGACTGGAATCGAACCTGGGACCCTTCAGTCCGCAGGCTGACGCTCAATCCACCAAGCCAAATTAGTAGGGCACATTAATATTTATTAAGCAAAGCCATTACCCCTCAGCTTCCACGCTAATTTCAGGCTCTTTTTACATTTCCTGGTCTACAATAATGACTTCCAAACTAGCTTCCCCACATCTTCCTAAAGCCATATTGCAGTAGGTTGATCTTAGCACACCTCTAACGATATCACTCCCCTGCATGAAAACCTGAAACAATACTACACTCAGTTTGACATTATTACACCAGATTACTATTTCTTCTTCATCCTGTTTCCATACAAATATATTATTTGCTAACAAAACTCCATTGTTCCCTTTTATTGACCATGTTTCATGCCCCACTGCCTTGGGCTTGTTCTCCAAGGTCCCTCTATCTTCATTTGCCTCCTGGTTTCGTAGGGTGCCTTCCCACCCAAAGCCTGCCCTCCTCCAAGTTCAGGTTAAATGTTCCTTTCTCTGCGAAGCCTTTGGTTTCTTATTTGCTTTTTTTTTTTTTAATTGCTAACCGTGTCTTAATATGACTTGTATAACCTTGCCTTAATCATGCTATGAGTTGAATAAATATGTTAAGAAATTCATGCTTTGTTTAATATGAACAAGAACACATCTTACTTTTCAAGGAATCTTTTCCCTTTCTTATGTCAACAGCTTATTGAAAACAAATGCTATAGACTCGATTTCACCCAGGGGGGGAAAAAAAAAATCTATTTAAGGAGTTTGGTTTCTAATGGAAAAGAATGCTATGACCTAATGAAAAATGGAAAAATTCTGACAGATAATGAAATGATCAGATCTTGTCATTCTGTGTAGAGTCTTTTTTAAGTTCAAAGGAAATGATATTTGTGGTGGCCTTATTATAAAATAGTTTCTGCTGAGTCCAAAATCATTTAATAAAATTTTTCTTAGTGAAGCTCATTAAATAGTAGATGCTTCTTTTGAAAATCTCTACAGTATGATTTAATAATATGACCTCACACAGACTTGTAATGACTCATTGAAGTGGTTGCCAGCAATCTGGAATTTTCCTGCTTAAAATGCTGCTTGATTTTCCTTTCTGTTCTAACCCTTGGTTGGTGGTCCTCAAACTACAATGGAAGAATCAGGGATTCCAATGCACATGCCCAGGCCCTAACCTCAAAAATCATAGCTTCATAGATTCGGATGGGGTTTAAAATTCCTATTTTTATTAGTACCGCAGTTATATCTAATGCAGATGATACATAGACTGTATTTTGTAGGGAGATACTGCCCTTGATGAAAGCTCTGTATTACATTTTTCAACTAGCTAACCTAATTTTTAAATCTTTCTTTACAAACCTTTCTAATTACAGAAACAGAAGGTCTGTGGGAACTTGACCTTGCAGCACCACATGCTGGAGCCCGTTCAGCGGATTCCTCGGTACGAGATGCTCCTGAAGGACTACCTGCGGAAATTGCCCCCTGACTCTCCAGACTGGAATGATGCGAAAAGTAAATGCATTTCCCGCTCTTTTCCATTATGGGATAATGTAGTGGCCAAGCAGCTTTGTGATTCCAACGCAAGATATAGGTCTGATAGGCACTTCAGGAAAATATTGGTGCCAGGAAATAATCTCACTGGATATTGTTAACAGCACCTCAATTAGGCAAGCACTTTAGAGCAATGCAAATCACATTTCTCTTGCTGGCTTCTCATTAATCATTAACTCTGAAATATAAAACTATAGTCTTAAAGTCCTGGCCCATTTGGCTCAGTAGTTAGAGCGTCGGCCTGCGGACCATAGGGTTGTGGGTTTGATTTCCTGTCCATGGCTCGTACCTGGGTTGCAGGTTTGATACCCAGCCTGGAACTTGGAGCCCGCGGGAGGCAACTAATCAAAGTGTCTCTCTCACATCGATGTCTCTCTCTCTCCCCCCCTTCCTCCCACTCTCTCTAAAAATCAATGGGAAAAATGTCCTAGGGCGAGGATTAACAAAACAAGCAAACAAACTATAGTCTTAGAGACATCTGGGATTGCAATACACAATTACCTTCTCACAGGAAGAATACAACTATCAGAATTACTAGTGCTGCTGATTAATTAGATAGGTTGATGCATATCTCAAAATTATTATCTCAAAATAAGCAGTGTTGGCTTTACCTGTTCAGAAGAGAAAATGATGCTATATACTGTCAGTTAACATTTTCCCGTGAGAAAACGTTATTCCTATTCTGCTAATTGTCTTTTATTTTATAGAAGACTTGTCATGTATGTCTAAATGAAAAGCTTTCTTTAAAGCTTAAAGGTTTCAATAATGTTACTTTCTTGTGTACTTTAAAAAAATCTATTAGTGCCCTAGCCAGCTTGGCTCAGTGGATAGAGCAGGGGTCCTCAAACTTTTTAAACAGGGGGCCAGTTCACTGTCCCTCAGACCGTTGGAGGGCCGGACTATAGTTTAAAAAAAAACTATGAACAAATTCCTGTGCACACTGCACATATCTTATTTTGAAGTAAAAAAACAAAATGGGAACAAATACAATATTTGTATTTGCATGTGGCCCGAGGGCCGTAGTTTGAGGACCCCTGGGATAGAGGATCAGCCTGCAGACTGAAGGGTCACGGGTTTGATTCCAGTCAAGGGCACATGCCTGGGTTGTGGGCTCGATCCCCAGTGGGGGGCATGTAGGAGGCAGCCGATCAACAATTCTCTCCCATCATTGATGTTTCTATCTCTCTCTCCCTTTCCCTTCCTCTCTGAAATCAATAAAAATATATTTAAAAAAAATCTATTAGCTATGAAAGTAAGAATGAAAGTTAAGAAATAGAATTGGGTTTGTGTTCAACAAGTATTAACAATACTGGTGTATAATCTTAAAGCATTGCTACTTCCTCTAATAATTCCTTGTCTTCCATTATAAGTGTGCCTTGATAAGAGATGAGGATCACAAAACACAATCTTTGGTCTAGGAGCCTGGGTATTTTTTTTGAACACAGCTCTGATTTGATCCTCCCACCATCCAAGTGAGTCAGTGACCGCAGGAACTTCTCTTCTCCCCTTTCTCCCTCTTCCGTTTAGAACTTTCCTGACGTGCTGTCTTTCACTTTTTATTTCATCTCCACTTTCCACACATCTGGCCTGAGTTCTTGGTGTTAGTGGCAGAACTGGTGGTGGGGCTGGAGGTGGGAGTTACCACTGCTACTCCTCAAATTGGTCTCCTGGGCAATGGCCCCAGCCTGTCTTGCTTTGTTTCCCTGTCTCATGGATTCTGTGTGGAATGCACAGAATTGCCCGTATCCGCATAATTCTCCAGAATGTAAATAAAATTCAGTTTCTTCTATACTTAAAGACTCTGACTTCCTCTTATGTGCTAATGTCAAAAATGACAAAATTGGCAACGTGATATTTTATTACTCTTTTTGATTTCCTGTTACGACTTACACTAAAATTCTAAGGAAATCACAGAGGGAGACATAAAAGTTGGGAAAGCAACAAAAGTGCAATTTGTTTAGTAATGGAACAAAGAAGACAGAAAATTTGGTCCAGAGCCTATAGGTTGTTGTAACAGAATTAACCCAACCAGGATTCACAAGATAGAAAAGAAAGGAAGAGAGTAGGACCTGACTTAATATTGAGAGCATTCCCTGGGGTGGAGCCGGCAGGAGACCTCAGCTTCCCCAGCTTCACCGGGGGCCCCCGGCCTCCTACCTTGCTCAGACTATGAGTTCCCACTGCCATCTCTCCATACCACTCACCCCTGCAGCAAAACCCTCTATCAGCATTGGCTGAAGCTAGAACTATGGCTGTCTTTTCCCAAAGAATGTTAGTTCTACTTAGTGGTTAAATTGCTCATAAAATCAATAAAATAATACCACTGAAATGTTGTAGAAATTTGAGTCAGAAGACTTGGGTTTAAATGTGGCCCTTTAATATCATAGTTGTGTGACTTTAGCCAAGACACATCACACTCCATTTCTTTCATCTGTCAAATGGAACGAATATACTTTCCATTCAGGGTTGTATAAGAAGTAATTGACCTTATGCCTATGAAAGCACCTGGCAGAGGGCCTTCTCCCAAGCTAGTGTACATGGTGTTTGCTGATTTTGAAAGTTCCATTATGGATTAGATCTATCTGTAAGCCTCATAATTGTCAATGAGGAAATACCCTTCAAGTTCCAAGTATTGATCTACTTATGTATTAGAGGCCCAGTGCACGAAAGAGTAGGCATTCCTTCCCCCGGCTGCCGGTACCAGCTTCCCTCTGGCACCTGGGGCCCAGGCTTTCCTCTGGCTGCCAGCAGGCACCCGGGACCCTGGACTTCTGTCATAGCCCTGGCTTCGTCCGGTCTAATTAGCATATTATGCTTTTATTATTATAGATCTTTGGTCTCAGATTTCTGCTTCTTTTCTTTTTTTCTTTTTCCAGATTTCTTCTTATTGTAGTGTAAAGTATATGTTATTCAGCTACCTAGTTGCATAGTAAGGACAATATATATTTATTTTATTTTATTTTTCTCCATTTAGAATCACTGGAAATTATATCTACAGCAGCAAGCCATTCTAATAGTGCAATAAGAAAAATGGTAAGTGGTAAGAGGAGATGGGAATCTTCTAGTTAGATAATTGCCAGTAATATAGCCTAGTATTATCTAAAGTTTGTATCAAAATGAATTGGTACAGATAAACAAAAAGGATTGTTTATAAACTGTTTAATGTTATCTGTAATAACCTTCTCTTAATTTCCTCATAAGTTACGTATTTTATACAAAAATTTATGCTTAGTTCCAATTGCTTCTGAGTTATTCATATTTTAGCTAAGGTTGTTGTATTATTAAAACCACTAAGGTGAGCCGAAACCGGCTTGGCTCAGTGGATAGAGCGTCGGCCTGCGGACTGGAAGGTCCCAGGTTCGATTCCGGTCAAGGGCATGTACCTGGGTTGCGGGCATATCCCCAGTAGGAGATGTGCAGGAGGCAGCTGATCGATGTTTCTCTCTCATCGATGTTTCTAACTCTCTATCTCTCTCCCTTCCTCTCTGTAAAAAATCAATAAAATATATTTTATAAAAAAAAAAAAAAAAAAAAAAAAAAACAAAACCACTAAGGTGAAACCTCCTTATATTTGATGTTGCTGAGCTTTGTTTTCATTTCTTAGGATAACCTAAAGAAACTCTTAGAGATTTATGAAATGCTGGGAGAAGAGGAAGACATTGTAAATCCTTCCAATGAACTAATAAAAGAAGGACAGATCCTTAAACTAGCTGCTCGGAACACATCAGCACAGGAACGCTACCTTTTGTTAGTGAGTATTGTCGTGTGAGCAGATTGCTTAAGAATAATTTATAAGCATTGTTATATACATCTTGGAAAACTAGGATGCTTGCTTGCTCTCCAAAACAATGGTATCTAACCTGGTGCCATCACCACTGTCAAGACTCCACATCGGGAAAGTCCTCAGTAACTGAAAGTTGTTCTTTCAAGGACACAAATCTTTATTTTTGAAGTATTTTTCTATAATTTTTCTGTGTATTTGCCATATGTAATTTACTCTGGTAACACATCCTGAAGACAATTGAGCCTTTCCATGATGGTCATAGCCAGCAGTGTGTGTGTGTGTGTGTGTGTGTGTGTGTGTGTGTATGATGTATGACATGCTTTCTGGTTTCTTCTCCTTTCATTCTTACAGGCTAAAAGGTACTGTTTCCTGGATATTGTGCCAACATATTATTTCTTGACAACAGTTTTCTTCCTAGTCATTTCTAAACACTACTTTTTAGCCTTTCTAGTTTGAAGAAGTATATAAGCTATGTTGGAAAACGTGCACCTACAATTCGTATGTGAAAAGTACAAGTTTGCTGCATAGTTCCTTGTCACTGCAGTCAGGCCTGTCCCTGCCTGCACTTCCTGAAATAACCATTAGTCTGGGGCTTGGCTGACATGTAAGATCTCTCCTGGGGAATCCAGGCGATTTATTTTTAGCCACTGGTAGTTCCAGCCCCTTTTCCTATCTAATGATATGACAATCATCGTAATAGCTAACACTGAGTAGCAGAAAGCAAACGTTGAGTGATAGCTCAGTAAACGTTAGCTATTATTGCGATTGTTATTATAGGCAAAGAAGCAGAGAGACATTGGCATAGATGCTGCTCAGTGACTGGCACACCATACAGTCTCAGGATGTTACTCACATCTGACTTTTCTGCTGCAAGGCAGTCATCTCACCATTATAATATGAGTTGTTATTGGGGGCTTAGAGGTTTCTGTTGTCTGGTTATAATTTCCTTAAATGGGAAATTTCTAGGAACTAATTGTCATGCAGAGGAGTGGTCTCATTTTTGAAAAAAAGAACACATGATCGCCATATGACCCAGCAGTTCCACTCCAAGTTTGTATAACTCAAGAAACTTGAAAACATACGTCGACACAAAACGTGTGCATGAATGTTCATAGCAAAATTATTCATACTAGTAAAAAAGTCTAAACAACCTAAATGTTCATTAACTGATGATGGGTAAACAAAATGTGGTATATCCATGCAGTGGAACATGGTACATCAATAAGAAGGAATAAACTACTGATACATGCTACTTTGAAAGCATTGTGTCAAATGAAGAAAGCCATTCACAAAAGGCCACACCGCATGATTCCATTCATATGAAATGTCCAGAATAGGCAAATACATAGAGGCAGGATGTAAGTAGTGGTTACCTAGGGTTGGTGGGAGGAGGAAGTGGACACAAGGTTTCCATTTGAAGTCATGAAACGTTTTGGAATTAGATGGTAGTGGTCACTGCACAATGTATGGCTATTCTAAAAGCCATGAATTATGCATTTTAAAAGAATATATTTTATGGTATATAAATTATATTTCAGTAACTTTAAAAAATACATAGATGTTGTCTAAATTAACTATAAAAAATCATTTGAGCTCATCAGAAGCACTTCACCTTTCAGAAGTTGTAGAGACCTACATATAAATCAGGGACATGTCCTGTCAGGGTTCAGAGGTCTATTTATTTTGAAATGTATGTTTTGTTGTTTAGGTGTGGTGAGGCTACCAGATTGGAGATGATTGCCATTGAAAAGATAGTTATGCTAACAGATCCCAAAGGAGGGGGCATTCCACACCATGGGGTGGGGGTGGGGGGATGTTACAGGAGAAAGCACCAGAGTCAAGAGGCAGAGGGAACAAGCAGAAAACATGGGCAAGGGTTTTACTCTGATTTCTGCAAGAAGGAATAGGCCAGGCAGGGGGAACAGGTTTATGATTTGCCAGTGTACATAATTTTATCAGGTTCTGGTGCTTAGGGGCTGTTGTCAGGGACCTGGCCCCAGGTGATCAGGGCAGGGCAATTCTGACTCTGTTAGTGAGAGCCTGATAAAGGAGGCTTTAGGGTATGTGGACTCTGGATAGGTTGGTTCCCATTGGAAAGGCCTGCTTGCAGGTGATTCATTTCCTGGCTCTGGAAATGAGGTAACCCTGGGAGGGCAGTCCCTTCAGGGTCAGCAAGGCCCCAAGATGTCAAAACATCACCCAGCTGGTGTTGCTCAGTGGTTGAGCGTCAATCTACAAACCTGGAGGTCATGGTTTGATTTCCAGTCAGAACACATGCCCGGGTTGTGGGCCCTATCTCCAGTAGGGGGCGTGCAGGCAGCAGTTGATCAATGATTCTCTCTCATCATTGATGCCTCTATCTCTCTCTCCTTCTCTCTTCCTCTCTGAAATCAATGAAAATATATTTTAAAAAACAAAGATGTCAGAGCATCAAAAATACAGATTAAAGAGACATGCATAATACACTCTTCTGGGCACAATGCCTCGGAGTCAATGCCTTTCTTCCCTTTGTCATTACCAAGCCCTTAGGTACTTAGGTAATTTTTCTTCTCTTTCACATTAGTGTTACAGTTTCTGCAGTTAAACTTTTAACCACTTGCCTTAGTTTAATTTACACGTTTGAGGATTGTTCTGGAAATAGTTTTAGGTTGCATACCTTGGTACAAAGCCCAATTAAGCAGCTGTTTGGAGGACAGGGGGCAAAGAGCCTTTTGGGGAGGGGGATAAAGTGGAGGATAAAGCAGTAGTAACTTTAAGGCAAGGACCCTCCTGTTCCAGTGCATGTTCTCATGATGCATTTGCCTCCAGGGAGAATAAAGTGAGACAGCAGGGATTTTAGAAATGCCACATTCATCTTTTGAAGACCATCTTAGAAGCATTTCTTATAGTGTTTGTTCTTCTAATCCTCCCCCTCTAATGCTGTACTTGTCACAGAGTCTCTCCTCTGGCCAGCACACTCTAATTCCCATAGAGCATCTTTGGTTTTTTTCATATGTAGAAACTTCTGAAGTACCATTTTTATTTTCCTTTCTCTCCAGAAAGAAAATGAGGGCCAGTTTTCTGTTTCCTACTTTGGGGATGTTACATTTATCTGAAAAGCCAAATCATATTTAGAATCTGATATCAGCTTTCAAATCTTTGTGTGTGTTGCAAATTTGCTTTGTCTCCACACCATATATACATATATGTCAATGGTAGGGTATTCTGTTGATTAAGTAAATAACCACACCTCACATCTGAAAGTTTAAAAAAAAAAAAAGTGTCTGAATTATCCTATAAAATATAAAATGACCGAAGAGGTTTTATTCTTGACCCTTTGGAGTTCTATTTCTTCTTTCCTTGTAGCTTGATAGATTTAGATTCCCACCCTCCCACAGCCCCAACTCATTTAAATTTGGAATACAAACTAGGCTCTGGAAATTTCTCCAACAATGTACTTTTACTTTCCCAAACTTTAATGGAACAGTCACTATTGAGACATGAAATTGAATTATTTCATTCAAATAAATACATTTTAAGAAACTTGAAATAAATAATTGAGGAATATTAGAGATCAAGAAGGAGGCACTTCCCTACACTTTTAATAAACTTGAGACTTGCTTCTAGGTTTGGGCCCAGCCTGGCACCTCCAGAGGGTACCTCGCCACCCAGGTATTGCTTTGTCAATATCTGCTTCTGAGCTATGGGCATGGAATAAAAAGGAACCCCTACACTGAAAAGGAAAGTTGATCTACTCAGAGTTACAGTTGCTCTAACTTCCTCTTTCAGTGTCCATGGGAACCAAGAGAGAAGGTGACGGTGGCTTTTGCCACAGGAACAAGGTTCACGGAGGGAGCAGGGCTAGCTCCTAATTCCTTTACAGATATGGCATCCACTTCTTTGTAAGCAATATTCTGTCTCCTTTAAGAGCTCTCACCTTCATCTCTGGGAAGAAGAAAAGGAGTATTTATTGACTAGCATTAGATTGTGACCTAAGTAATAAAAGGTTAATATATAGTTATTGACAATATGAATATGAAGTTCCACTTAGGAAGAATATAATAGGGGAAATGTAATCCTGAAAACATGAAAGAGGAAGAGAAATATATCATCCTATATAATTAAAGCTTAATATGCAAATTGTCCCCTCGGGCTGTTGTTCAACTCGGAATTCGACCAGTTCAACTGCTTGTTATGATGTGTGCTGACCACCAGGGGGTGGCATGGAACATGGCGGGCATCAGTGATGCGGTGCTGGCAGCGGGCGGCAGTGGAGGCGCTGCTGGCCTTGATGGGCCCCGACGAGAGGGGGACACAGTGGGATGGTGGAGCAGATGAGTGGGCAGCACCAGGTTAAGGCAGGTACAAGTGGGGGCCCAATCACCCCGCAGATGGCAACCAGCTGCAGGGGCAGGGCCCACCACCTGGCTCCCTCAGCACCTGGGGGACCCAGCCCCGATCGATCACCCCGCAGGCGGGATGGTGGAGCAGGTGAGGGGTGGCACCAGGTCAAGGCAGGGCTGCGGGGCTGCAGGGCTGAGAGGCTGGGGGCGTGAGTTGGGGCCTGATCTCTACATTATCCAGTTGTGGAAATGAAATTTCTGACACTGATTACAGGAAGTTGCAAAATAATGTATGAGGAACAACTGGTGAGAAATTGGCTTTCAGAATGAGTTTAAAGGATGGTATCACATAAAGGATGGTATCACATGTGGCGATATCTTTAAATATCCATCACCATTTCTTGTCTTTATGGCCGTGTGGAGCAAAAGAGAGGAGCTTGTAGAACCAGACATTTTCCTCTTTGAATTCTGTCAGCAACCTGTAACTTTTACGGAGAATGATCCTGAGACATGAGAGGTTACAAGGTGCATAAGGGTTTAAGTTCCATTTGCTCGTGTCTTTAAAAAATATATGTAACCCTAGAAACAATAAGTATGAAGTAGGAATATAGGTATGGATCTCCCCACAAATTAACCCAAATATTTACTCTTTCATCCTTTTGCATATTTTAATACATTCGAAGGGAACTAATTGCTCTCCCAAAGTCACTCATTGCTTGGGCCTGATGAGCAGGAGCTGCTCCTTGTTGACTGGATAGAGGGACTACACATAATTTGACTCGGTCCAAAATAAAGTTTTTCATTTTAAAAGTAGATCCTGTAAAGATCTTTAAAGACTTTTTTGCTAAAATAGATGACTTTTCTGTTAATTCATATGGGATGGGGTTTTTTTTAATGTTTTTTTTGTTTGTTTGTTTTTGTTTTTTGTTGTTTTTTTTTTTACAGAGAGGAAGGGAGAGGGATAGAGAGTTAGAAACATCAATCAGTTGCCTCCTGCACACCCCCTACTGGGTATGTGCCCACAACCAAGGTACATGCCCTTGACTGGAATCGAACCTGGGACCCTTGAGTCCGAAGGCCGACGCTCTATCCACTGAGCCAAACCGGTTAGGGCTGGGATGAATTTTTAAGCAAGATGTGGGTCAATATAAAACAGTGGCGTCTTTTTTGTTTGTTTGTTTATTGTTTTTTGGTTTTTTTACATTGACAGTGTGCTAACCCCACATGTTTGAATAAAATTTAAACTAATAATTTTGGCTATATATTAACTTAACAATAAATACACTGATAAAAAGAATGACTAAATATTAAACTTTTCCTCTAACAGCTATTATAGAATTGCTCTCTAAGATGTAACAATTAGAAATTTTGTTCTCTAAGTACTTCACCTTTATGGGTTGATAGTTTCAGTTGCTGGTATATGGAAGGTTCTTAATATATTGTTGATGAATTGAATTAATTTCTTTAATGGTTCAAAATAATGAATGGTTTATTGAAATATCAATAAAATATTTATGAACCAACAAAGGGAAGTAAAAGCTATGCATTTTAAACTATGATAATTTTGGTGCAAGCACAAAATCTCAATACTGTATAGTATTTAGATAATTTTGCTCACATAGACAGTCTGGTGCTCCTTGGGAAGTCTTTGGAATATTGTGTAGGGCTACATTCAGTATTGGTCACTTTCTTCTCACTTTGTGTTCCTCTTTACTGATGTGTGTTCTGTCTCCTTGCAGTTCAACAACATGTTGCTGTACTGTGTGCCAAAATTCAGCTTGGTGGGCTCCAAATTCACAGTTCGGACCAGGGTTGGCTTAGATGGAATGCAAATTGTGGAGACTCACAATGAGGAATATCCGCACACTTTCCAGGTATCTGGGAAAGAGAGAACACTGGAATTGCAAGCCAGGTAAGAGAGCCATTCTTATCACACATCAGAATTAATTGTAGAATAGAAAATGCTGAGTCTTTCCCAGGTGAATGCTACAAACCTCTGCGAGTCTGGTTGGACATAAGTGGAGAGATGGAAGCCCTTAAAAAACAGGAATTGTGTCATCCCTTTTGATTCCCCACAGTGCCTAGGATAGTTGTTTTCAGAAATTAATGCTCAGTAAGTTATTTTTACTCTTTAGATTTACAAGGTGCTCAGAGAATGAAGTTGTTGCGTTTAAGCCAACGTTTTGAGTCTTATAGGAAAAGGTTCTCCCTAACCCTTTCCCCCTCCATCTTCCTCTGGTCCACACATCTTCACTGATGCTTATTATCCCATGCTAAATGTTGAGGTTTAACTCTCAGTCCTTCAGAGGCTCTGCATTCATGGGACTTATTAGCACTTTGATGGAGAGAATGTTCGAAGGAGGCAGGCTGGAAAAGGTAGTGATTCTCTTGCCACAGTTGGAGGACACGAAGGAGGCCATTTGGGGCTGTAGTGGCCTCTAGTGACCAGGAATTCTGAAGGGATGATTCTTACATGCTTTACTGAATGGAAGAGAAAGAGTTGGAGTTCCAGCATCCATCCCCCTAGCATAACCATGTTTGGAAAGAAGAAAATATGAGAACCACTGCAGTTGATCACAGCTACTTCATGTGTGAACCACTGCAGGACAGAGTGCTGTTGGGTTTTAAATACCTGCTTTAGAAGACTGTTATCTATTCATCCTATAAAGGCCTGGCTTGATGAAAATTGGGAGGCTCCAAAACATCACAGATCAGAGGGTTAAGTACCAATCCCAGTACTGATGGTTCTTTTTGCTGTTGTTAACCCTTACCCGAGGGTATTTTTCCATTGATTTTTAGAGAGAGTAGAAGAGGCGGGGGGGAGGGAGAAACATTGATGTGAGAGAGACACTTCAATTGGTTGCCTCCCACACATGGGATCGAACCTGCAACCCAGGCACATACATACCCTTAACCGGGAATTGAACCAGAGACCCTTTGGTGCACGCTCAAACCACCGAGCAACACCGGCCAGCGCCCACCACTGATGGTCTGACATCCTAGAAGCTGTGGAGAGTCAGAGAGCCCTTCTGTTCCTTTGCACCAATAGCATGTGGTTCTGGCTGCTCAGGTGAATTCATCCTGGATATTTGTACTCAGTGACCACATAAGAGCTTAAACTTCAGACTTTCAAAAAAAAGAATAAATCATTTTAGCAGGAATGTGTGCCCTGGCAATCAGGGAACTGGTGAAATTACAGTTATGGAAGATGTGGCAGGCTGCCAGGGGACTGAGCTAAGGATTCAAAGGTGGCATTTCAAACACAAGTTAAAATGGTGGAGGACTTGGCTTTGAATATTATGGTTTTTCTACCTTATCGTGATGGGGTTTGGGCTCCAGCCATCAAACCCAAGAGAAGAATATAGATGTTGACTCACTGGGTGATTGGACCTGGCAACAAGGAGGACTCCCCCAGTTCTGATTGTTGTTAAAGGAGTCTCCATTGTGGAAGAATGAAGGTGCTGCCAGCTCTGAAATGTCAGCATACTTCCAAATCTATAAACCAAGAGGTGTGTCGAAGCAGCTGAAGATTATGAGGCTTCTTGGGGTGCCTAACCAGGAACTCCAGCCTTTCTTTAGCAGCTTGGGCTGTTTTTTAGGGTGGGGCTGGTTCATGGGGAGTTTTCTTAACTGCAGGTAGTCATCACTTTGTAGAGTTTCAATATGCAGTATTGGATACGTTCCAATTAGTTATCGAAACATCATTTTCCTCAAATGTTTTATTCCCCTCATATCATTGCTTTAGTTCTATTTATGATTATATGGTAAATTGAAGATCAAAATTAAGTGATTACTTGTCATCTAGTCTGTAATGACTCAAGAATGGAGACAAACATTGAAAGTCCCAGAAAGTAAGACTGTTAGTGGGATTACATGGAACTCCAAATTGGGTATGTATTTAGAGATATTTCAAGAGAATTTGCTTCTGAAGCCACTTGAGGGGGGGAAAAAAGGGGCTCTGCTTTTCTTGCTAAATGAATCAGCCTGAAGACTGACCTCTTATACTCTGTGTACCCTTCCATGTTCAAAAGAATATAAAGTATTCTTAGTTTCTGTAGTTTTTATTTAATGGTTTTTGGTTGCTGAATGGATATAAAAATATACTGGTGAGTAAACTAAACAAAGGATTGAAGACTTGTCAAGCTCCTTAGCATTTAAAAAGCTAAAAGCAGCAAGCATGCAGGGATGCTCTCAGGATCCTAGAGCTGATTCGGTGGGGGCAGGGCACAACAATAGGGAGAATCTTTTTGAGGGGAAAGATTGATATCACACCACACCTCCCACCAACCAAGGATCCCCAGGTGAACAATAAGCAGAATCTTTCATTTTATAGGTACAGATTCCAGCAGCATTCTTGGGACATTGTGGTACTCAAAAATAAATGTACTGGAAGGATGGACAGTGTCATAGGAGCAAACCTCCTGCCAGACTCATGCATGTGTGATCCCTGTGGGACCAAGGCATGTGACATTCAAGCGGAACTCAACCTTAGCCCTCACCTACCCAACACACGCAAACAGAGCCCACTCTTTGGAGATCTTAGTCCAGAGTCTACTAACGGGGTTTGTTCTAAGATAGTTATATGACAACAACCAGCTCTGTAAGCTACCTGCATGAGAGAATAGAATTAAGAAAATTGGCCTCAAAAAAAAAAAAAAAAAATTGGCCTCAACAAGAAAACCAGAGGATTTGATTACAGTCAAGGGAAATTTTTCTCAGTAAAACGTTATTAAATATTGGTGTCCATTAATCTGTGCAACTTCCTTCCTACGGGCATTTAAACTGTTTGTTTTGCTTTATCTGTAATTGATTAGGTATGGTATTGCCTGAAGCCTTCTAGCAGAATAAAATTAAATTGTTCATCAAAGGGAATCTATATATATATATAAAAGGCTAAGCGACCATCTGACGCCAGGGGGCAGACGCTCGATGCAGGAGCTGCCGAGCTGCGGTGACTTGGCAGTGGTGGTTCTCAGGTGATGCGAACCTTGGAACCAGAGAGGAGGGAGCCTGATTTCAGGGTGTGTCACCCAAGAACCGCCCTCTCGAAATCCAGGACCTTTTGGGGGATGTTGGAGAGCCGGTTTCGGCCTAATCCCCACAGGCCAGGCTGAGGGACACCACCTGCTGGAGGGACCCCGCTCACTCTGCAGATGCTATTCAAGCCTCAGCACCACCCCAGGTGTAGCCGCTGGGGAAGGACCTCGGGAGGTTGGCTCCGGGGCGTGTCCAGCCCATCTCACCCAGTCCCGCCCTGCTGGCCACCTTCTAATTAATTTCCTTTCAATGTGCACAAATCCATGCACCAGGGCACTAGTGTTAAATAGTTCCCTAAAACCTTACAAAGATATTTTAGATTCTCAAAGCTAATTATAATCTTTCTTAAGGTGGGCTGTGGCACATAGCCTTTAAAGACCCTATGTGCTTTTATAAAGGTGAATTGAAGATTACTTGTATATCCAGTGCCTAATGTCTATAACTAGATGATGGTTGTTAAACTTAATGTCAGGGCATTCTAATGTAAAAGGTAAACTTATCTCTCCCCATCAAAAATTATCTGTTCCAAAGTAAGAAGATCCTCTAAAACTCTGTTCAAGAATTTATTTGTTCAATTGCCAGAGAGTCTGTTTAATTTTAATTGTAACTCTTTCTTGGACATCCCTGAGTTTTCCAGAAAGTTGGAAGAACATTAAAACATAGTTTTATTCACCAGGTGTAACTCATTAATGGTCTCTGCATTCAGTTTAATTTTGTTTTGTTTTAGTTCTGAACAAGACAAAGAAGAATGGATCAAGGTAAACCTTATTTCTATTTTTAGTTTTTGTTTTGGCAATCTCTGTGTGTGTATGCAAACGTGCAGATATTGTTGTATTGGGCACATGTAGTCATCGGATCAAGGTCATTTAAATTTTTTTAAATCTGTACCCGATGAGTGAGGATATTTTTTCCATTGATTCCTAGAGAGAGTGGAGGAGGGGGCGGGAGAGGGAAGAGAGAAAGAGAAAGGGGAGAGAGACAGAAACATCAATATGACAGAGACACCTGGGTTGGTTGTCGACCACATGCGCCCCCAGTCAGGGGCAAAGATCGGACCTGCAACCCAGGTATGTGCCCTTGACTGGGAATCAAACCTGCGACCCTCCAGTGTGTAGGCCAACGCTCTAACCACCAAGCCTTGCAGGCCAGGGCAAGGTCATTTAATTTTTAAAGTGATTCCCATTATAGATATTTGATTAATATAGTATTTTAATAAATTTTCATGTGATACTTTAATGTGTGCTTTGAATTTTATTTATATTTTAGGCCCTTCAAGAGACTATCGATGCTTTCCATCAGAGGTATGAAACCTTCAGAAATGCGATTGCAAAGGATAATGACATTCAGTCAGAGGTTTCTGTAAGTTGAATTAAATTCTTAACTTTAGGCTCTTTGCAATTACAAAAGATCTATCTGGTCATTTTGTTATCTAGTCTTTTTCCTTCACAACTGGCTATTAGACAGAATCTCATTCCTTCTTAGATGAATGTAGTAGTGAGTGCCTTTTTTATACTGCTTAAACTTCTTTGAACCTTTTACTTCTTTACAAGAACAGGGTATGAGCAATGTTGTTAAAGTGCTTGGAAGGCAGGCAGGAAGGAAGGAAATGACAGTTCTTTTCTGTTAAAATTGAATCTCTCTTCCCTTTTTAGACTGCTGAGCTAGGGAAAAGAGCCCCAAGATGGATCCGAGATAATGAAGTAACGATGTGTATGAAATGCAAAGAGCCTTTCAACGCACTGACAAGGAGAAGGCATCATTGTCGAGCATGTGGACATGTAAGTGAGATTTCTTGGTCATTAAGATGGCCAGTAACTCTATCAGTATTGTAAAATCATCAACTTGGAAAAGGCACCAAAACTCATTCGGTAGAGCACTTCATAGATAAACTTATTTTAGTGACAAGTATGCACAAAGCACAGTGCTGGGTTCTGGAGGAAAAATGGTAACCAAAATGATACCCAGCTCCATGTAGCTTACATTCTAATGGAGAAAAGTAGACCCAAGTCGGGTAAATGGAAAAATAAGCATTTCAAATGACTATAGATGCAATAAGGAGGCAATCAGGAAGTTTAAAATGGAGAATAATGGCAAGGAAGGAGGATTTGGAACCACTTTTAGTTAGAAAAATGAAGATCTATCTGAGGGGTTGATATGTAAGCTGATGCCTAAAAGGTGAGGAAGAGCTAACCACAGGAGGTAGTTGGGACCTGCGTTCATGCAGAGTCTGTATCTTATAAGCCCCAAGGCAGGCCAGAGCTTGGTCTTTTTTTGAGACTGCCAAAGGTCGTGTGCTGGAGTGTGATGAGTAAGGGAAGTGTGGCAGAAGAAACAGTAGAGAAATGATAACCAAAAGAGTTGATGGCTTTGAGAGACTATCAGGGGTGGGCAAACTTTTTGACTCGAGGGCTACAATGGGTTCTTAAACTGGACCGGAGGGCCGGAACAAAAGCATGGATGCAGTGTTTGTGTGAACTAATATAAATTCAAAGTAAACATCATTACATAAAAGGGTACGGTCTTTTTTTTCAATAGTTTTATTCATTTCAAACGGGCCAGTTCCGGCGGGCTGTAGTTTGCCCACGGCTGGACTAGATAGAACTTGTTAGCATAAGTGGAAGTTCAGGCTTTTGATGGGGAGAGGGGAACTTCACTCCATGGTAATAGAAAGGAAAACAAAACAGATGGCTGTAAATGTGGGATTTTTAATTTGCTGGTGGGAAATGAGGGAATTTAGGTCTGGTACTATGTATCTTTTCATCGAGGTAGCAGAAAATGTCATCACCTGGAAATGAAGGGGGAAGGAAGAAAGGTGGAGGAGATTTGAGAAAGGACTAAGGTGAAATAGTCATCTCTGGGCAGGGAAGATGAGCCTGTCAGAGAAATAAAGGTGGACTGCTGGGTGCCCATTAGAGGTGTCTGGTTATAACTCAAGTCAGAGAAAGCACATAACAGGCTTTCAGAAATTGAGTTGTTTCATATGGAATGAATGACGAGGAACAAAGCATGAAATGAAGATGGAGAGAGGTAGCAGCAGGTTTTGAAGGGCCTTGTAAACCTTGTTAAAGATTACATACTTTCTTCTAAAAAGCAACGAATAAATAGAAGGGTAGGCATTGCAGTGTAATATATTATTAGTGTGCTTAAGTGCAAATATTCTTATTAATAGCTCTTTTAGATTATCCTCACACTATAGATTTATTCTTCCTCTTTTTCTAAGTTTTGACTCAGCAAGACCATTTTGTAGTCAAATTGAAGTGATAGCAAACATTTCCCTCCATTCCCCGGGGAAGACTTTTTAAAATTTATCAAGTTTGCTTGAAATGATTTTAGGTACTGATATATTTGGTTCAGTGAACAAACAAAAATGTTTGATTGTGGATCATCAAAATACTATGATATGATTTAAAAATAAGAGATCAGTTAATAGGAGTTTACATATACAAACAAGTCTAATTCTGAATCCTAGAGTAATTTTATTATAATTATATCATGAATTTTACATTCTGTGAACCTAAACCAAAAGTTTTACAAATATTTACATTTCTTAGAGTTTGTTTACTATGAATTGGGGGGGGAAATATGCTTCTAGAAGCAAGAAGATAAATTTTTTAAGTGGAAGGTTTTTTTTTATTAACAATTATTCTATAGTAATTAAGGAAAATACCATTCACTAAGAAATCATATGTATTTTCATTATAGTTATTCATTCCTTGGCAGTCAATAAATGTTTACTGTGTGCTAGTGAGCAAAATATATAAGAACAATCTCATAGAGCTTACAGCCTAGTCGGGGTAGTAAACATTACATAAATAATCACACAAGTATATGAGTATAACTTGTAATCAGTACATGAAAAAGAGTACAGGGAACTTGAGTAGCACAGTGCAAAGAGACATGCTTTGTACTGGAAGTTGGAGGAGTCTTCCTTAAAGAAGTGAAGTTTGAGTCAACATCTGGAGGATGAACGAGTTACCTCATGAAGCAAAGATGAGGCAGGAGGGAGCATAGCACTGTGGGGCTGTAGAAGCCAGGGTCACTAAAGATATGGGGAGTCAGAGGAGCAGATAATGGAGGTCTTTGTAGGCCATACTGAAGAGTGTGTTCATTATCCAACAGCAAAGGGAAGACTGAAGGATTTTAAATAGAGAGAAACCTATCAGATTATGATTTTGAAGAGAGCATCTGGTGCTATTTGGAAAATAGCTTGGAGGGATGTAAGAGCAGAAGCCTGGAGGCCAGTAAGAATGCTACAAGGAGCAATCACGAGGCTATAATAGTCCAAACGGGGATACTGATAGCTTAGACTCGGGTGATTAGGAAGATGTAGAAAAATGGACAGATTGAAAACTTTCTAGGAGGTAAAATTGGCAGGACTTTGTCATAGTATGACTCTTTGGGGTGAGCCGTGGAGAGGTATCAGGGATGTCCCTCGGTTTATGACTTGCCATGATTGGTTGAATGACTGTGCTATCTTCTACTACAGGGAGCCAGAGGAGAGGAGGACAGGTTGGGAAGGGTGGAATGGGGGAAGGAGAGCGCTGAGGACAAGGAAGTTCATGAGTGCATTTTGGCGGGATATCCAAGAAACATCCAGAGGCATGGAGAGTACGGGTTTGGATTAAGCCTCTGAAGATCTCCTATCTTTAGGGTCAGAAAGAAAAGATGAACAAGCACAGCCCATTACAAACAGCACTATAATATTGTGATGATAATCCTAATGTTCTTGGCGTAATAAAAATTTGCCTTTTATATTTAGCTCTTTCTCATTATCATTGTAAATGTTTATGGCTTAAATCTTATTACTTTTAAAATATGATGATTGACTCTTCGTTACCTTTTCTAATTTAAGGTGGTTTGTTGGAAGTGTTCTGATTACAAAGCTCATCTGGAGTATGATGGTGGTAAATTGAGCAAAGTTTGTAAAGACTGTTACCAAATATTAAGTGGATTCGCAGACAGTGAAGAAAAGAAACGAAAAGGGATTTTAGAGGTATGAAATAGTAAATGTTGGATGTTTTTTAGATTTTTATATGAGGGACATAGAATTGTATTTTAACCCTGAAGAAGACAAGTAACACATTTTGTTATTTCTCTTAGTATTTAACAATTTTTGAGAACGGTGAACAAATCATACTTTTGTTCTGTGTTGCTGAATGTTGGGATCATACAGAAAGAACAGGGTTGGTGTTCTGCATTTGAGAGTACACAGAGGTCATTTTGGATAACTGGAAAAAGATCATGAACTTCAAGATTCATTTAAGATTAAAGTGCAGGTCTGCAAACTTAAAATATAACTCTGAGTTCCAGGGTGTATAGATGTCGCTTGAATGGCAGACCAAAATGGGTTTTTTTCAGGCAGGTCGGGGAGAAAGAAATGCTTCATTGGCTCCTAAGGACACAGGCTCAGTTCTTAACAACAGCAACTGATGCGACTGAATTAATGCAATCACTTGTTTTAAGGGATGAGTTTCAGGCTGTAGCTATGAAGTAAAAACCTCAAGGGAGTTTTCTAGAAAAAACTTGGGGGAGTCAATTACTTAACCATGTGAACACATGTGCACACACACATACATGCAATATTTGAAACTCACTTTGTGCCAACTAGTGTTATATGAGCTAGCTAGACCAAAGGTCTTAACAAACTTGTTCTGTAAAGGGCCAGAGAATAACTATTATAGTTTTTGCAGGCCAAGAGGCAAAATTGAGACTACTACTTCTCTAACAAGAGAGAAAACAAATTTACATTGACAAAATTTAAAATACAATAATTTAGTACAATTTTTTTTCTAATATGGTAATAAGAATGGAATTCTTTAGAGGGAGGAGGGAAGGTAATATTTCCCTTAATTGGAGTCTAAAGTTAGTGTTTCCTATTATCAAATTGATTTTAAATGTTTATCTGAAAGCACTTTCTTAGCTCCCAGATGGTGGGCTGGTAGTCCATAGTTTGCCAGCCAGTACTTCTTCCCTTATCTGTGATGAAGGGTCAGTTTTATTTCCAAACCTCATGATAGCTCAGTAATTTTGTAAAACACACAATCATGTGCTTGAGTATCATCACAAAGTCAAATTTCTATGGAAGGTTTTCAGTGTTTACTCTTACTTTCTGTGCTTATCTTGAACCAGTAACCAAACATTTGGCAAACCAGCACTCTTTTTTTTTTTTTTTAATATATTTTATTGATTTTTCACAGAGAGGAAGGGAGAGAGATAGAGAGTTAGAAACATCGATGAGAGAGAAATATCGATCAGCTGCCTCCTGCACATCTCCCACTGGTGATGTGCCCGCAACCCAGGTACATGCCCTTGACCGGAATCGAACCTGGGACCCCTCAGTCCGCAGGCCGACGCTCTATCCACTGAGCCAAACCGGTTTCGGCCAAACCAGCACTCTTGAATTGACACTGAGGAGCAATACCCTAAGGATATGATGCTTTCTATAATGTGTAATAACCATTAGTCAAATGGTTTTGTTCCCTTTTTAGCCAGTGATTTATGTATTTAGGAGGCAAAGCAGAAAACTATAAATGACTCTACAAACATTAATGCAATTTTTATTTTTTTCATTGATTTTTAAGATTTTTTTAATTGATTTATTTGAGAAAGGAAAGGAGATGGAGAGGAACATTAATTGGCTGCCTCCTGCATGCCTCCCACCAGGGATTAAGCCCTCAACCCAGGCATGTGCCCTGACCAGGAATCGAACCATCAACCTTTCAGTATATGGGATGACACCCAACCAACTGAGCCACACCGGCCAGGGCTTTAGTGAAGTTTTTACAACTTGAATTATCTCAGATTCCAAGATAAGGATTGCTGGCCAGTATTTGCCTTTTTGTTATGGATTCTTACATACGTGAAGTTGGTATGCGTTGCGGTTAAAAGTTTAGCCTCTGCACTCAAATCCCAGCATCCCAATTCCTAAATGTATGATCTTGGGAAAGCTATTTCATCTCTGAACCTTATAGATAATGAAAGTTGTAACTTCCTGGTGTTGGTGTGAAGATTAAATGAATGTTGGTGTGAAGATTAAATGAAATGATACATTTCTTAGTGAGCTAAGAAAAGTGCATGCATAGTAAGCAATTAATAAATGTTTACTAGTAACTTCATTTAAATTCAAGGTCTGGCTATAGAGACAGTTAAATTGACTTAGATATTTTTCCATGCTAATAATAGATCTAGATGAATATTTAAATAATTGCAGATGAATTTTTTGGGTGATCCCAGAAGACATTTGATATAAGCACACTGTAGTTAATGAATGTTGCCCTAAATTTAATTACTTCTCTGTCTGGACCGTTTTGTGTTCAATCTCACTCACTCACTCTCACTCCATTATATTTTTCTAGACTGAATCAGCAGAAGTATCTGGAAACAGTGTGGTGTGCAGCTTTCTTCAGTATATGGAGAAGTCAAAACCTTGGCAGAAAGCTTGGTGTGTGATCCCCAAACAAGACCCTCTTGTGCTGTACATGTACGGTGCCCCACAGGTATCTGAACTACATCTGACTGAAGGGAAAGAGGTCATGCGGATGGCAGGGGAGGCAATTAGACAGTGAACTCAAAACCCCTCTATGGAACAAGAAAGTTCAGTTTCATTATAATCGGAAAAAATAATAACAAATTCAAGTTTACTTAAACTGGTGGATTCCTTTTATAACCAATAATTTCTCCACCCCATGGATCCTTTCTCCCCTTCTCTCATTCCTATTCTATGGGCTTGAAAAAAAGGTGAGTTGAAAGGACATTGGGAGAAGGGGGTGAATAGAGGAAGAAGCAGGAAGGAGAGGGAGCCTTTTTAACGATAGGAAGTAACAGGCAAGCTTTCCCTCCACCCACCTTGAATACAGGAATACCTGAAAGAGAAAGAAATTGAGAGGAAGAAAAATGTAAATCAAGCTTAGATTAACATTATCCAGTAACAGTTGTTTGAGAACTGTCTGAGCTTGGATCTGAGATAAATCTGTGGGAACAACAGACATGCAGATTTAGCTTCTAACCAGAGCAGCACCAGGTACTATGGAGTATATAATGCTTAAAAAAACAGGGCATGTATACCAATTGTGCATTCCCCTGGAAATACATAAACTTTTCAATGTACCTATTATATTTTAGCCTATATCTAAATTAAAGACTAGTAAAACTTGTGTGTGGTTTTTGTTTTTGTTTTTTTTTAGAAATAGACTTAAAATGCCAAGATATATGTTCTATTCTATTTTGTGGTTTTTCCTATAACTTTTTCTTGCCCATAAATAAATTGATTCATTAATGAATGAAACACCAAGTAAAACTGTTTGGTAATGAGTCATTAACATTTGCTGGTTTTATACAATAAGATAACTATTCTTTTCTTCCCTTTTTCACTGAACGAAGAGCTGGGGAGGCTCTTACACAGAGGAGGTATTGGGTCAATGAATCCTAGCTGAGTTAGGTGTCCACTCTCATTAATTCATGCAGTCAGTATTAACAGTGACCTCATGTACAGGCACTGTGCTATTCCTGGTTCACCAACTCTGTCCATGGAGACTTCACAGTGCAAGTCTGTATGGAATAGTCGTAGGAAAAGAGGTTTTAGTAGGGACTTGTAGAGCATGCTCACACACCTCACACTCCTATGTATTATTTTTTTTCCTTTAGGATGTCAGAGCCCAGGCCACCATTCCACTCCTGGGCTATATTGTGGATGATATGCCAAGGAGTGCAGACCTGCCTCACAGTTTCAAACTGACCCAGTCCAAGTCTGTGCACAGCTTTGCTGCAGACAGTGAGGAACTGAAACAGAAGTGGCTGAAAATCATCCTTCTAGCTGTCACAGGTGAGACACCTGATGGTCCTAACAACCATTCAGCTACCTTGGACGATAACCCTGAACCTAAATAAAAATCAGAATGCTGAACTCCAGGACCAACCACAGTGTGGGGGTCTCAAGATTCACCGCTCAAGACATTCCCAGTTCTCCTTACTCATCTCTTAGCACTTTATGTTGAGAAGTATAAATGTATCTGGTAGGGGACTATTTTTCCTATGTTTGTGTACTCTGGTGAAATTAATGTGGAGAGCCATTCTACCGATAACTTTTGGAAATAATGTGAAAAAATGGAGCATTTTTTAATGAGCTATTTCTTGAATATGTACTTTTGTCTTGGAGAAAATGGTATCAATTGATTATGTCACTATCAGGTTAGAATAGGCCACTTTCACTTAAGAATTATTTTAATGTCTTCTCTTTCACATGTAAGACTTGTAACAGTTTGAAAGATATACCTCCATGTTGCCAAAATAGATCCATGGTTAGAAGAATTACAAGGACAGTTTAGGCTGTTGTGTTAACTTATTTAATTTAGTGTATAAAGCTCAAGCTGCATAAATAATATGTCCTTTTAAAACAGAAAAAGGACAGGTTGTTGGTGTTCAAACTTTCGACTTATTAAGAAAAGATATTTGTTTTTGTAGAAATACTCCTAAAAATAAAATATCTTACGTATATAGCAATTATGTATATATAGTATTAAATATAAATATATCTATATACTATACATGCCTTTCTCTTCAGCTTTAGGTTCATATTTGTGTCTAATTTATTTTTAAAATATAAAGCACGTTTTATCTTGCAATTGGACATGTTCTAAACTTAATGTTTTTGGTGATATATGTTTAACTGATTGACATCTAAAGGTATTGATATTTTTATAATAAGAAAAAGCAGTAATTTATGTGGCATGGGATATATTAGTGAATTCCAACCATATTTTTAAAGTACTATTTTTTTTTTTTTGTTCTGTGCCTATTTAAAACAGTGCCTCTCTTTGAAGGTGCTAATAATTTCTATTTAAATATAAGGTGAGGGTTTAATTAATGCTTCAGTCTTACTTACTCAGATAAAGTGCATTTTGGTCACCAGAATCGTCAAAATCATACAGGTTGTTTTTCATTTTATGATCCTCTAATTGTACAACAGTTAATATCAGCATATACAAAAATCTTCACAAAAACCTGGATTGTGCAAAATACCTGACCTTAAGCAGAATTGGGACATCAGGAAACTGCATTTCCTGTACTGTTTTTTTTTTTTTCTCTAAGACTGTTAAGCATGGTTAAATGAGGACTATATAATTAACTAGAGGCGGGATCAGGCAGAAACAGCTCTCTGACATCCCCTAAGGGGTCCCGGATTTCAAGACAGCGCAGGCCAGGCCAAGGGACCCCACTGGTGCACAATAGGGGCTGGGAAGGGACAGTGGAAGGGCTCCAGGGTATGTCCGGCCTGTCTCACCCAGTCCCGATCGGCAGGAACCCAGCAGCAAGCGTCTACCGGTCAGAGTATCTGCCCCTGGTGGTCAGTGCGCGTCATAGTGACCAGTCGAACAGTCGGAGGGATAGTTAGCATATTAGGCTTTTATATATATAGTTACTCAAGATATCTGTGTCGGCCTGTTCCTTTGTCATATATAATACAAAATTCACAAGTGATAACCTATGTTTGAGAGGGCTGGATAGATATTAAAGGAAGTTTATGTTCAATTCTTTAAACCTCCTCAGTAAAGAATGGGGGCGGGGGGCACAGTATTGAAAAGCAATGTTTTAATGGTAGGTTTTGGGGAGGTACAAGATAATTGAAGAGAGCCTGAGCATTCCTTTCTCGTTTATCTTTCTGGGGAATCATAGTAGACAAAATATAATTCCTTGTGACTAAGGCTGCTCTTCATTATATTGTAATTATGATTAAAATCTCACATTAAGCTGGCTATTTAACTTAACCCTTTTCTCTAACTAGATCTGTTTTTTTGTTTTTCGCTTTTGGGGTTGTTGTTGTTGTTGTTGTTGTTTTTACCCTGTTATGCCTCAAATGTTATCACATTTAATGCATCGTCTAGAGATCCACAAGAATGACCTCACTATCCTCTGCCTTTGGGGATTACACCTTTTTGAAAAATGTGTATATTTTTATTGATTTCAGAGAAGGGAGAGGGAGAGAGAGATAGAAACATTAATAATGAGAGAGGATCATTGAATGGCTGCCTCCTGCACCCTCCCTCCCGCACTGGGGATCAAGCCCCTGTCTGCAGGCTGATGCTCTATCCACCAAGCCATACCAGCTAGGCCTGGGGATTACACCTTAAATGTAGAATAGATTTGCTCAGACTTGGAGATTTTCACTCATCTATTTAGGCCCTCTTAAGAAAATGTGAAACATTTATTTTTCTGTGAAGGAGCAGATAAACTAATTATGGCTGACATGATTGGGTTGCCTTCTTCCATGAAAGGAATACCAACCATGATCATTTATATTAAACCAAATACTTGGAGCCAAAAAAAGATAAAAGGTAACTTGTTCCTATTAAATCAGGGGCAGACTTAAAAATATTTTACATTGCTTCTCTTTTCTAGTTGCCGTGTGTGTGTGTGTGTGTGTGTGTGTGTGTGTACACAACATGTGTATTCATGGGTGGTTATTGAGAAGGTTAAACTATAGCTATAGATGATGCTTTTGGTTTTCTTAATCTCAAGAAGAGAGAAGCAATAAAAATATGGAATGATTACCAGGGGAAGGTGACTTTTGTAAATGTGGATAGAACAATGGAAATATAAGGGCCAATTAGAAGATCTGTTGGCCAGATTATTTTTGAAAACTGTTTTGAGCAGCAGGAAGACTACACTTTCCCTTTCAGTGAGTTCTTCTGGAGTGGAAGTTGTGGACAAATTTTGGCTCAATACATATCTATGTTATTTAATTTAGATTATTGAAAGAATATTCATGAAGACACTGTTTATTATCATGCTCTTAATATTATCTTTAATTTGATAAAAAAGAAATATTATTGTAAGAAGAGAACTTTTAATTATCCAGTTACCAATTTCACTCCCACCCCTTGTTCTGTAGCGAAGCACAAAGAGAAGCAGTGAAGCAGCCTTACCTGTTTTTGGTTAAATAATCACTAATGCTTTTATTTGGGGAAAGGCAAAGGAATAAGCTTAGTCAGCCATTTAATAAGCACTCAACTAAACCAAAAGACCTCAAAGTATGATTGGTTACAAGAATAACTTACGTCTTTTGCTTTCTCAGACACCTGAGCAGTCAGGACGGATTGAACCTAAGAAGGTAATTGGTTGCTTTCCTATTAAAGCCAGCATCCCATCGTGTAGGTCTTACAATTTGTTTTCTCTAAGTTGGTGCTTTCCAACTCATCTTTTCTTTAAAGTTAAAAAATATTTCTTTGCTAAAAACTGCTGTTCATTATAAAACATTCCAATTTTTAAACTTAAATTTTGCTTTGTTGAAAGTCTACCATTTAGGATATTTAAGTATGAAATGTAGTGCAGACTGATCTCCAGGTTTCAAGTGGGACTCAACAATGAAAACTGCCACCAGCCACTTTTGTAATAATGGCATCTATCATGCTGTCATGTATGCAAGCAATAAAACTCTTCAGGGTATGTTTTTATACTGAAATCTTAACATGAATGCCCCTAGCCACATTCTAGAAGAGAATTCACTTCTAGAAATGATCATGTAACTCATTGCCTGGTATAGGGAAGAGAAAGTGTGTGTGCTTGGGGGTGGGGGTTGGGGGGATTGGGCATTATTCTTTGGATTCAAATAACTATCAAAACCATTTTCCTTCTGCAATGGGTATGGATAATGAAACAAAGCACATCTGCACTACTTTATCAAGCAACATCTCATTTTTCATGAAGTTTAATAACATACCCTTGGTGTACTTCTCTTCACTGGGTGACCTACCCTCATTTTTTTAAATACACCGTTTTTTAACTTTTTAAGAACTAGTTTTTTAAATGTGCCCTGTCCCCATCTATAAACAAACATTGGATTTTTTTTTTTAAAGAATATTTACTGTAGTCCTCAGTATATTACAAAAAAAACAACAACTTCATAGTACTTCAGGGTTATTAAGGATTCATTAATGCCTTCTAAAAACCTTAAATCAAACATACTTCTTCGAGTTTACAATTGTGGTTTACTTCTTTTTGTCTACTCTGTGGAACAGGGTGTTTAAATTCCTTTAAATTTTAGATCTCAATTCTGGTTCTATTCAAAGCCTTACATTCTTACTCTGAGCATATTGTCTGTGGTAACTCTGATAATGATCTTTCTGGGCTGGATCCATCCCGAGGAAAAGGCACCAACAGGAGCAAATAAACTTCTAAGGAACAAGGTCTTCTTCATATTTTCTTGTTTTTGTAGTTACCTTTGCTATAATAGAGAAGGTTAATTAAAATTTCCTACATCACGTGATGTTTGTGTGAGCGGGTCTAAGCACATGGTATTTATAAGCTAAAATTAATTCAAAAGACAGGAATGTCTTAATGTTTTCATTGTTAAAATTTTGTATTCTTCAAGAATGTATTAATATAAAAACTGTGGCTAACTAGTTCTGATTCTCAGGACTGGATTGATATCCGTAGTGGACCATGTTATTTCCTTATTCTCATCCAGTTTTAGTTGAATCAAATTACTTTTACTTTCATATTCCTCTCTACTATAGATTCTCCAGATTTGGAAAATATATAAAAACCACTAGATCTACTTTTAAAACTCTTTCTGTGAATTTCTGAGTATATGTATATATGTAAAAATATTATTGATTTCCAATTCTGTTTTTTTCATAGGAACAAAATTTTTATAGAAACTGTTCTTTTTAGTTTAAATATTTTAACATAAATTACTCCCATGAATTTTTAGTATAGTTCATTCTTATTTATCCCCATATCCATGTCATGAGATGAAAACTTTGCTTTTTTTACTGCTATAATAGAGAGGAATAAAATTAGGAACTGAAGCAAGCAGGAATGAGCAGAGAGGTGGGCAGCAGAAAGAGGCTGCTGGTCTCCAGATCAGAGCAATATGTGTTAAGATAAGAGAAAAATACTTACACTGCAGAAGGGATATAAAATATAAATTTACATAATTGCATATTGATGGGATTTATTGCACCCCAGCCTTTCACCTTGACCTCTATATCATTACTTTCTTTTTCCTTTAGGCTATAAAAGAAATAAATTTATTCTATTGGGCCATTTTTAGTGCTGTTTACTGAAGTAGAAAAAAATATCCCTTTAAAGTCCATCCTGGTCTTTTACTTCTAGACTGAACATTTGGCAGAATATAGTGTCTTTTCTGTGATTTGAGATGAAATAGCACATGCCTCAACAAGATCATTTTTAACTTGTTGGGGTTACTGAGTTACCCAATGGTTATCCCTTTCTAAAATTCATTGTAGATTGAATTAGTGAGATTAGGTAGATTTAGTGATAAATTAATTCAAGAAATCTCATTGTAGCATATTTTAATAAGTGAATACCAAATACATAGAGTGATATATATGTAGTTTTGGGGGAGAGGCATAATAATCTGTAGGGACCATTATGATAACTGAATTGCATTATATGTTACACATTATATGGATGTTGGAATGTATCACTTGGGGGGGTGTGGGGGGGTGGTCTCCATTAGCAATCATGTCTGTATATAAAACTATCTTCTGTTTTTATTTTATCAAACTAGCATTTCATTTTGTGAGTGACAGTTGACTGATATTTTTGAGTAAGTGTGATCTGGTTTTGAATTGTTGACTGATCAGTTTGAAAAGGTATGTTATCAGAATTTTAGAGTTAACTCAAATGTGAAAAAGTATACATAAAGGTAATTTTTCTTTTCTAGCTATGTGAATGTAAATATGAATGCAGATAGTGTATATATTGTGTAACATATGTATATTTGGTCACAAAGGTGGGGAATCAGAAACATTGTAAAATTAAGCACTTTAATTCCTCTTAAATATTAAACATTTGTATCTTGTAAATAAATACATCCTTAAATGAATTCTAAAGACTTAGATGTTATTTCACCTAGGATTATATATGTTCAGTTCACACAAATTTTGGTTGGTTCTTCTCCCTCCCACCACTGTCAGATATGCAGCCAGGGGAGTCTGTTAAAACATAAATCAGATCATGTTGCTTCTCTACCCTAGTCCCTTAGGCTCCTCATTTCACCCAGAATAAAAGCCAACATCCTTTGAGGGGCTTCACTAGACCCTATATATCTCCCCCACCTCCACCCTGTACCATATGTCTCCTTGCTTTTCTTTAACCAAGCCCACTACACTCCAGCCTTAGAACACACACACTACTGTCCGTTCCCTCTTCTTGCAATGCTCCTTCCCAAGATATCTGTGTGGTTGACACCTTTGCCAATTTAAAGTCTTTGCTCAAATCTCACCACCGCAATCTCACTTGACCAGGCCTGGCATCTTAGATTCCAACATAACACTCCCATTCATCCTTAATCTTATTTTTTCCCCCATAGCACTCATAATCTTGTAACAAATAATTACCTATTTTTATGTTTGTTTTTATTGTTTGTCTACACTTACTAAAACATAAGCTCCATAAAGGTAAGGATTTTTGTGTTTTGATCACTGATGTCCCCATTCTCATCATAGTGCCTGGCACATAAGGTAGGCATTCAGTAAAGTACTGACTGTAAAAACTAGATTCTATAAAAGGAAGAATGTTGTGGGTACAGACTTTTGAAATAGTGGTTGAGAGTAAAAGAAAGCAACATTTTCTATAGCTAAGTTGTTTTCATAAACAAAGCCAGATTCCTAATTAAGGGTTTAAAAACATAGTCAAGGATTTCCTCAAATCATAATGGTGAAAACCTTAGTCAGTCTTTGCATGATGGAGTCTTGCTTTAAAAAAAAAACAATCTCAACCCACTCTCACCAGCATCACCACCACACCTGGAATGCAAGGAAATCAGAGGCAGCTGGTCCCTGTTCCAGAAAAAGCCAGTGGTGCTGAAACACACGTCCTGAGGAAGTGGGTCGGAGTGGACATGACCTGGGGTTAGAAGATGGGCACTTGGTCTGCAGTTTACTCTCTTCCAGAGGAAGTGATTCATGCATTGTTTGGGTCCTGCCTTTCAGTAAAAACAAAGCCAGGTGGTTTTGTCTCAGAAAAGGAAATGCTCTGAGGTTAAGACGGCACCACATAGTCCAGTTATGGTATTTTTCACAAGATACGGTATTTTTAGATGATCACTTAAATATATCGTCATCATACACTGAGCACAGCTCTGAGTTGCTGATTCTGGGAGCTAAGTGAAGTCCAAGTCTGTGGGCAGAACTTCACGATGCTACTTCTTGGGGCTTTGAGTTGATTTCAGGGCTTGTGTTCATCTTCTACCAAAGAGTGCAGGTGGGTCTCCGACAAGGACTTAATAATTGTGAAAGCTGATTAGTAACACAAATTTTTAATTCTGCTAAAAGTCGTATTTTAAATATATTTTTTATTGATTTTTTACAGAGAGGAAGGGAGAGGGATAGAGAGTCAGAAACATTGATGAGAGAGAAACATCGATCAGCTGCCTCCTGCACACTCCCTACTGGGGATGTGCCTGCAACCAAGGTACATGCCCTTGACCGGAATCGAACCTGGGACCCTTGAGTCCACAGGCTGATGCTCTATCCACTGAGCCAAACGGGTTAGGGCTAAAAGTCATATTTTAAATGTATGGGTTTCCTTTTTAAATCCAGAGATACAAGGAAGTCTTAAATCAGGGAGCTTTTGTCAAAAATTCAGGGTTGAGAACTGAATTCTAATCCTGTCTCACCTGGCGCTGTGATCTGGGCACATCATTTTACCTCGCTGAGCCCCGGTTTCCTTACTTGTACATTATTATTGTTGGACTAAAATTTAAAATGATGAGAATTGCGAATGTTCCTTTAGGCTCCAGTGGTAGAATATTCTTATTGTTTCTATTTTTGTTATTCATTGTTCCCCTGATTCCACTTGCCTTCTTAAAAACCTGGATTTGGAATCATATGCAAGTATAATTTCACTGTATGTATAATCACTTCTCTTTTTCTAAATGTTCTTCACATGCTTTGTGAACATAGCGCTGTACGGAGAGCCTGCTCTCTGGCTTTTCATCCGAAGGCTCTGATCACTCGGCTGAAGCCCAGAGGTCCTGGAAGGACAAAGGAGGTAGCTGGTGGGCTAAACATTCGTGCTGATACACATATAGAAGTCCCCTATGCAAGGGTCAGTTTTTATTCAGGCTGATGGGCTGGGCTGACTCTCAGGTAAGGCATTCTAAGTGCTGCATTAGGCACTGAGAAGGCATTTGTAGAGGCCACCTCTGCCCTGGCTGACCTCCCAGGCGTGGAGTCTGATTCCTAACCCCCAACACACTTACTGGTACCGTCTACCTGTAAAAAGGCCGTGTTTAGCCCTGTAACTTCACTTCCATACAGTTAAGGATACCATTAACCAAATTAAAAGACAAAATGCATATTGAGAGAAAATATTTGCGACATCCACGACAAAGCTTATTTTTCATAATAAACATAAAAAGTTCTTACAGATGAATATTTTAAAAATGCAATGGAAAAAGGCAAAGAATATGAATAGGTAATTCACAGGAAAAGAAATATAAAGGATCAATATATGCAAAAATTCACTAATGATTGGTTTTTTTAACCTATTAAGTTAAAAATATAAAAAATATTGATACTACCTTAAGGTGGGTATGGGGAAATGGGTATACCCGTATACTTTTGCTAGAACCATAAATGGCCACACCAATATCTATTCAGATTTTAAAGATGCATACCCTTTGACTTAGCAATTCTGCTTCTAAAGAATCTACCCTACTGAAATGCTAAGAAAAGTATAAATACAACCATGTATAAAGATATTTTCTGCAACATTATCCATAATGTAATAAATTCAAAGTGATGTATCATCTACCAAGAGAAAAACTATTAAATTATAATCCTTATAAGAGCATGCTTTGCAACTATTTGAAAGAATATTTTGGGATTTGTATGTATTGATATGGAAGATATATAGCAATGAGTGGAAAAAACCCTATAATCTCACTATAAGTGAAAAAATAGAACTATATGTATGGTGTGATCTAATTTATATGTTTGTCTCAGAGCAGTGAAAAATATGAACAGAAAGAAGCTACTAACAGTGCTTCTGATCTGGAGAGAGTGATCGGAGGTAAGGAGCCTTTCATATTTTGCATTTATTTAATGATATTGCTATGGACCAAATTGTGCCCCCCCCCCCCCCCCCAATATACTATATATTAAAGCCCTAATACCCAGTGTAAGTGTATTTGGAGATAGGGTGTGTGAAGAGGTAATTCATGTTAACCAGTCATAAAGGTGGGGCCCTAATCTGATAGGACTAGAGTCCTTGTAAGAAGAGGAAGGGACTCCAGAGGGCGCTCTCTCTCCACACATGCATAGAACAAAGGCTATGGGAGGACACAGGGAGAAGGCAGCCATGTGCAAGCTGGGAAGAAAAATCTTACCAGAAACCAACTTTGCTGGCACCTTGATCTTAGACTTCCAGCCTAGACTGAGAAAATAAGTGTCTGTTGCTTAAGCCACCCAGGCTGTGGTGTCTTGTTATAGCAACATAAACAGACTAATGCAGATATGTAGAGATTTTTATACTCATTCATGGATAGTCTTTGTTGGGAGAGGACACCTCTTTTTTTTTTTTTTTTAAAGCAGCTATTTAAAAATCCCACTTTAAGAACAAGCTGAACCCACAACTTTTCCAATATTGCGTCCACCAGAGTTAGGCTGCTGTACTAATGAGGATAATTAACACCAACTGCTGCAAACAGTCCTCTAAGTCTTATTCAGAGTGATTTATTGTTCTTGTTACATGTCTAATATGTCTTGGCAGGGAACTCTATTCCATGTATACACTCAGGGGCCCAGGCTAAGGGTTGACCATCATGCTACCTCACTCAACATGAGGCTTCAGAGTTTGCCAAAGTGGAGGAAGGGAGCGAGAGGGTGAGCAAGGCTTTTCACTGACCCAGCTCAGAAGAAACACATGCCCCTTCTGCTCATGGTGACTGTAGAACTAGTCACGTGGCCCCAATCAGACTGCAAAGGAGGCTGGGAAATAATAACCATATGAATAGTTAGTGACTAGCAAATGTTCTTGTCATACTCCTTATCATGGATTGAATTGTATTCTCCCCAAAAGGTATGTTCAAGTCCCAACCCCCAGTACCTCAGAATATGATCTCATTTGGAAATAAGGTCTTTACAGAGCTAATCAACTTGAATTTCCTTTGAATTGAAATCCTTCTTCTGTCTCCTTTTCAAATGAGATCATTAGACTGAGCCCTCATCCAGTCTCTCTATATAAAAGCCTGATATGCAAAGTGTCCCCTTGGGAGTTCGACTGGGAGTTCGCTTGCTTGCTATGACATGTGCTGACCACTAGGTGGCAGCACAGAATGAAGGAAGGCCCTGGCGGGCAGCTGGTAGCCGGGGAAGGGAGGCTCGGGCCGGCAGCCAGCAGCTGCTAGGGACTCTACCCATGCATGAATTTTGTGCACTGGGCCTCTAGTATCTTTATATAAAAGGAGGACATTTGGACTCTCTTAGAGACAGACATGCACAGAAGGGAGACAATATGAACACATGCAGGGAGCAGACTGAGACTAGATTTACGCTGCCACAAGCCAAGAAACACTTGGGCTCAACAGAGCTAGGAGAGGCAGGGAATAATAGATTCTCCCCCCCAGCCCTCACAAGGAACAAATTCTGCCGACATATTGATTTTTGATTTCATCTTCCAGAACTGTGAGACAATACATTTCTATTGTTTTAAACCAAACACTCTGTGGTACTTTGCTATAGGAGCCCTAGGAAATGAATGTACTCCTTTATCAAGTTTGTGCAGAGAAAGATTTAATACACTGAATTAAATCTGGTAGAATGACTAGGCTAGGCATTCAGAAATTACTCCCAAACAACTGGAGCACCAAAGTTACTATTA